TATATCCAAAATCTAGAAACTTTCTTTTCCAAATCTGTCGAAATTTTTTAAAAGAAGAATATTTAAAACCATTTTCTACAAATATTATATTCTCACTAAAAGAAAATGAAAAAGTTATAAATGAAATTATTTTGGGATCAGAATGTGAAGAATATCTAAACGAATTAACACTTAAAGGTCACATAAACATAGTTAAAATTGTTCGAGAAAACTGTTTAACATTTTATGTGACTGCTGCGGAAGAAATTCATAAAAGATCATCCATAAACAACATGTTTTTATCAAAGTTACAAGTTTTTCGACCATACATAACTTTATTTGATAATAATAGAGAAACATCATTCAATGATGTTTCTTTTATAGCTAAAATTATTGGCGGTTTTGATGAAAACGGTTTAAAAGAAGAATGGATTGCTTTACCTTTAATGGATTAGATTTTACAATGGAAGAAAAACAAAACTTTTCTAAATTAAATTTCGACAGTATGTGGAAAAAAATTTTACAAAATCGACACAATAATTTTACTAAGTATCCTAATTTAACAAATGTTATAAGTACTATAAGATCTTTTCCAAATTCAAATGCCGATCTGGAAAGAATGTTTTCTTTTTTAAATAATTTAAAAACGAAAAACCGTAACAAGTTTTCGTCAACTACTATTAATGCTATTTGTGTATTTAAATCGGCATTAAAAACGAGAGGCAAAACAGCTATAAAAATGAAAATTGACAAAAAGCATTTATCTCTTATGTTAGCGGATAAATTATATGCTACCGCTACTAAGAAAAATAAAAATGATTTAAGATTACATGCTGCAGACACCCTGACGTAGCTGGCCCCTCCTCTAATTAATAATAAATTTATTTATTATTTATTATTATTTATTATTTATTTATTATTTATTATTATTTATTATTATTTATTTATTATTATTATTTATTTAGACATTACGCTTGTACAAAACATCTTGTCTATCTAACGGACACCATATTTGCAGAAAGCAAGAATATAAAAAACATCTTGTGTGTGTGTGTGTGTGAGTGTGAGTGTGACTGTCTGTTTAACAGACACCATACTTGTAAAAAGTAAGAATATAAAAAATATCTTGTCTGTATAACAGACATCATACTTGCAGAAAGCAAGAATATGAAAAACATCTTGTGTATGTGTGTGTGTGTGTGTGTGTGTGTGTGTGTGTGTGTGTGTGTGTGTGTGTGTGTGATTGTGAGTGTGTCTGTCTGTCTGTTTAACAGACAGCATACTTGTAAAAAGTAAGAATATAAAAAATATCTTGTCTGTATGTACAGACATCATACTTGCAGAAAGCGAGAATATGAAAAACATCTTGTGTGTGTGTATGTGTGTGTGTGTGTGTGTGTGTGTGTGTGTGTGAAAGTGAGTGTGTCTGTCTGTTTAACAGACACTATACTTGTAAAATATAATGAAATAATGGAATGTGGTATAATAGGGCTCCAGGCGAAGGTCCACATAAAAAACCTAACGCGCCATTGGTGATACCTCATGGGATGTGGAAAATCGCACTATTTTTCTTAATTTCATATTTTAAATGTATAAAAAAATTAATTATATTTAATATATTATAAAACGTGTGTGTGTATATATGTCACATATATATATATTATAAATATATTATACGTTTATGTATATACACATTTATATATATTTGTAACAAAAATAAAAAACATAAAGAAAAGCTGTGAAAGAGAAACATTGAAATATCGAAGAGCGAGGCTCGCTCAGCAGCGTTCCGCGTCGCGCGTCGCCCGTCGTTTTCATTGCTTGATTGGTAAGAAGGAGACAGAAAACTGTATTCTGTCCTCTTCTTTTAGCCGAAGCTCGCCGAAGCGCCGAGCTCACACGTACGCTTACACACACATCTCCGTTACCCTCTCCACTACGCGTGGCATGTTGCTTGCGGAGATAATCTTGCATCCCTGATCCAGGGATCATTCTGGTGCGGGCGCTCGATTAAGTCAGACACAGTTTGTCGTCGTTGTCGTTTATTGTAAGTTGTGTCTGTCGCCGTCGCCGAGCTACCTGCAGAGGACGAGGCCGAGGACCTTCCCCAGCACGAGGATTCGTATCGGTGAGATTGCCCATCCTTTTATTTGTGAGCCACATACGCGATTCGCTCCGCCAGCCAGCCGTCCTGCCACCGTCGCCATTTTCGTGTTTCGCGATCGTTCAGGCTCTGTACCGAATCGTCGATATTTTGTGAATTTTCGGGCGATCGGAGGCAAGCGACCAAGGAAAAGCAAACAATCGTATTGTAGGCAATAATTGATAATATAATTGATAAGGCAACGTTCGTCTCTCTCCGGATTTCGAGGTATTCATTACGCGTAGCTATCGACCGCCGAATATCGACCGCGTGCGCGAAGGATCGCGAGAAGCGTATACCGCCCGTGTTGTCGTATCGCTCTCGTTGCCGCGTGGAATATTCCCGTAAATTATCTCGGGGCGATTTTTGTCTGATTTGTGTCTGATTGCGTGGATGTCGTCGTCGATTGTTAAGTGTGCGTGTGATTGTATGAGCGTTTATTGTATTTTATCATCTTGTGTGCGTTAGAGTATTTGCGTCTTTGTCGCGCTTATTATGCCGTCGAATAGAGCGTAATAAATAATAATTTGCGTCTGTCGAATTTGTCGCGGTGCGAAATAATCGCCAAAGTACGACCAAGAGTGAAACCTGAGCTGCTTTCGCGGAAGAATGAGGCGAAACGCTGGCAGAGAAAAATTTCCGGCCGCCGTCGGCTATCGAATATCGAACATATTGCTCGCCTGTCGCATACGAGATCTGTCTTCGCAAAATTATTCGTTATTTTCGATCTTTAGTTAACTATGCTGTCGAACTGTTAAGCTGTCGTTTAGAATTGTGAACTGGGAAATTGCGAGGAAAAGACTGTAGCGATAAGTCGTCGATCTAGTTGCCGAAATTAAGATACGTTTTGGGTGAATATTATCCGCGAATATTTCCGTGTCGAAAATCCTTTATATTCTGAAAAGTATCGTTCAGTCCAGCGAACTCCGGCCATAAAAACGGGCTCGGAGAAACAACAGAATTGTCTTAGCGCTCTCGTTTTGGTTGTCGATTTCGAGCGGACATTTGCTTTGAATAATGTCTTATTATTCGTGCCAGGATTAATTTGATTGTGTATTTCGCTTTCTTATTTTTTTTTTTTGAATTTATTGGGAACCGTCGTTTTCAATCTGATTTGTTATTCAAGTTTAATTTTACGTTTTTCTTTTATATTATTTCTCTACTAATAAATTTGTTATATTTCTTTGTTAAAATCGCGTAATTTATTTGAGTGTTAGTCTCTCGTGATTGTCGATATCGGTCATTGCGTCTGTCGCATTTTGAATTAGTGAAGTCTCGCATAATCAATTGACTTTCTTCCAAAACCCCTCCCACCGTTAGGCGAGCTAGTCGGCCCGTGGCGAAACAAGCTATTATTTTTCGCGTTCTTTGACGTTTCGTGGAAAACGTAATGCGTGAAAGACCGCATCTGGCGCCCAACCTATCGAGATATCGAAACGACCTCCGCTCCGCCGCGGTTCGCGCGAGAACGCCCTCCATCTCTGTTCCTCAGAGCGCGAGTACATTAATTTCGCTATTTTTTTTTGACGGCGTTTTCGCTCCCCCGCGCACGCTTTCCTCCACCACTTCGAGGAGTGTCGCGAATAATTTAAATTTGAATTGAAAATAAACGTCGCAATATATATATATATATACAGGGTGTCCCATTTTAATCCATCCAATCGAATATCTCGAAAACCAAGCTTGAAAGAGAAAAATGTTTCAGACAAAAGTTGTATGGTTTCTAGGGGGACATAAGATGGTACCATTGATTTGACCTTGAAGAGTTATTTGAAGATCACATGAAGGTCACCTTCAATTTCTTAAATGGAATCTACATTTTCTCATTACATATTCTTGTAGCTTATCTCGAGAGCTTTCCAAAACACTATAATAAAATATTTTTTTATTGAGTACTTTTCGAGTTATGAGGCTTGAAATCATTTTTTAATTTAACATAAACCGTAATATATCTAGTAAAATATTCATTTTTCGATTATCTTGCTTTAATACTTTTATGTACAAAATAATGAGAGAAATCAATTGGTGTAAAGAAAACACATAGTTATTTTTAAGAAAAAATATGTAATTTGCAATTAACAATTACATATTTTTTCTTTGAAACAACTATGAGTTTTTTTTACACCATTGATTTTTCTCATTATTTTGTACATAAAAGTATTAAAGCAAGATAATCGAAAAACGAATATTTTACTAGATATATTACGGTTTATGTTAAATTAAGAAATGATTTCAAGCCTCATAACTCGAAAAGTACTCAATAAAAAAATATTTTATTATAGTGTTTTGGAAAGCTTTCGAGATAAGCTACAAGAATATGTAATGAGAAAATGTAGATTCCATTTAAGAAATTGAAAGTGACCTTCATGTGACCTTCAAATAACTCTTCAAGGTCAAACCAATGGTACCATCTTATGTCCCCCTAGAAACCATACAACTTTTGTCTGAAACATTTTTCTCTTTCAAGCTTGGTTTTCGAGATATTCGATTGGATAGATTAAAATGGGACACCCTGTATATACGAGGGCAACTTGAAAAGTTTCTTAAGTCGGAAAGAAAACAACATTTTTTCGGAAAAGTTTTATTTTATTTTTCAATATAATCTCCTTTTAAGTCAATACACTTAGTCCACTGATGCTCCAATTTTTTCAAACCATCCAAAAAGTACGTTGGCTGAAACTCTGTAAAATAGGCGTTCGTGGCGGCGATGACTTCCTCATTCGACGCGAATTTCTTTCCTCCGAGCCAAATCTTCAAATTTGGGAACAAAAAGAAGTCGCATGGGGCCAAATCTGGAGAGTACGGTGGATGGGGCAGCAATTCGTATCGTAATTCGATCAATTTTGCGGTTGCAACTGCGGATGAATGGGATGGTGCATTATCGTGGTGGAACAACACTTTTCTTGGCCAAATCAGGACGTTTTTCCTTCAATTCTTTGTTGAAACGGTCCAGTAAGTCGGCGTAGTATTTTCCCGTAATCGTTTTTCCCTTTTCTAAGTAGTCGATGTGGATAATGCCTTTAGAATCCCAAAAAATAGTGGCCATGACCTTCCCAGCCGATGGAAGTGATTTGGCTTTCTTCGGGGCGGTTCACCAGGCAAAGTCCATTGCTTCGACTGTTGTTTTGTTTCGGGTGTGTAGTGATGAATCCATGTTTCGTCCACGGTCACATATCGACGAAAAAATTCTCGTGGATTCCTCTTAAACAAATCCAAACACTGCTTAGAGATGGTCATACGCACGTGTTTATTCTCCACCGTAAGCAAACGCGGCACCCATCGCGACGTCAGCTTTCTCATGCCCAATATTTCATGCAGGATATGAAATATCCGTTCTTCTGAGATGCCTACCATCTCTACTATCTCACGCAACTTCAAACGGCGGTCACTCATAACAATATCGATCACTTTACTGACCATTTCTTCATTGGTAGCGGTTTTCGGGCGTCCACTGCGTGGTTCATCATCGGTGTTGGTACGACCACGTTTAAATTCGTTTACCCAAAAACTGATGGTTGGTAATGAAGGAGTAGATGTGCCATGAACCTCCTGCAACTCTGCTTGAATCTGCGTAGCTGTTTTCCCTTTCAAAAAAAAGTGTTTTATCACTGCACGAAACTCCTTTTTATCCATTGTTGAAAAAATGTTTGACTTGCTTTGTTTAACTGCTCCCAACTAAGTGACGAATTGACGTAATTGTCTGAAAATTTTACAGCAATCATAAAAGATGTCGCACTTTTCGGTCATTGCATTTGTTTTGCGATACGCGTGCTATCTCTGTGTGACTTAAGAAACTTTTCAAGTTACCCTCGTATATATATATAAATTTGTATATTAAGACATTCCTGTTGCTGAGTACATGTACATCACAATTTATTTTATTATTGCAGCTACTAAAAGAAACAAATTACCCTTGGCTTTCAAGCGTTTGTTTAATATAAATAAAGATATGTCAAAATGAATATTGAATTAAATGATTGTATGTGTAATATCATAGATTACAATTAATAATAAATACAATATCTCTATTTCCAGATGACACTGAGTATTAAGATACTCATTTTTATAGCGGCTATTCTCTGGCGCTGAGTTTCGGCTGCCGTAAGCGCTGCATTAAAAATTGGCTGCTATAAGCGCTGAATAAAAGACTCAGCTGCATTAGTATTAGCGCTAGTCTTGCTTTATGTCAGAGCTCGACAAGAACTGCACATTTCGGCCGATTTTCAGCTGGCTCCGCCTAGCGCATCCCCCGTTACCTCGCCATTTCGCGGAAAGCCTACGAGCCGCTCGGCGCTCAGGAGCAGGCGTATGGCAATAGCTTTCCACATCACCCATGAGGTACTATTGTTGACGCGTTTTTTTTTAAGTGATATCCTCAGTAGGCCTAATCCACTGATGATTAAAACGACCCTTTAACTAATTGTATAAGACGATAAAGTTTACCACATCTTATGCGATTTGCTACATACCGTATGCAAATAGATGTTCCTGATCTCGCTTGTAAAAAATATTCATCATATCAATTATTATTTATAATTCCGTGCAATTAGCTAAAGGGTCGTGGTTAAAAGACATTCATATCGATCTTCGAATTATTAAAATTTTGTTCAGAATATCGACCACGTGAAACATGGAGGATACAATGTCCCGACACAATCGAATCTGTTTGTGAGGATCAGAAACATATTCAAATATTACATAGTAGTGATACAATTACTAACGAAAATGGACATTGGGTTTGTAGCTATTATGATACTAAATCTATTTATATTTATGATTCATTAAATTTAAAACGTTTGTGTGCCCATCATAAGATATATCTTAACAAATTATATCCAATTTATTCTTTTGATAAAAAACCGATACGATTTCCGACAGTTCAAAATCAATCTAATACTTATGATTGTGGTGTTTTTGCAATTGCATTTGCAGTATCACTTTTATTTGGCCTTAAACCAGATACAGTTATGTATGATCATACTATAATGTATCAACATTTAGCACGAATGTTTGAATTAAATAAAATAGAACACTTCCCCCGAATAATAAGATCTACTGACCCTAAAAAGCTTTTTACTTTAGATCAAGTACAAAGAAGAGAGGCATTAGCTCACAAAAAACGAAAACGTCGACAAAGGAAAGCTGAACAAGAAAAATCTGTACAGTTGATAAAATTACAAAACAATATAACTGAAATGACAATGATGGATCAAGTAAAGCAACCTGATAAAATATCAGAGTTATTTGATTGTTATAATATAATAAATAAAAATAGTAATGTTGTAAATAAATGTGACAGTGTTGAACACTCCAGTCATGACATGTTAAATTCCTCTTTATTATTGCTTTCTACAGATAAAACAAAAAATAATTTATGCAATAAATTATTTTTTGTTTTATCTGTAGAATACATATAGGGAAATAATTTATGAAATAAATTATGCAAATAATTTCCTTATATGTATTCAGAAAAAGACGGATGTAATAACGGATGTAAGTTTTATAACAAAAAAAATTAACATAAATGTGCCAGTTTTGTTGCAAATATTTTACTTCTAGGTATGCAATATATACAGATTATTCTTACAGGTGAATGGTTAGAAGATATTCATACTGACTATTTTAATTTATTATTAAAGAATTGCTCAGAATATCGACCACGCGAATCATGAAAAGTTCAATGTCCCGATAGAATTGAACCTGCTCCTAAAAATCAGAAACATATTTAAATATTGCATAGTTGCAGCGATATAGCAACTAATTTAGACGGCCACTGGGTTTGCAGCTATTACGATACTAACATGATTTATATTTATGACTCATTGAATATAAAACGATTACATACGCACTATAAAATCTATCTTGAAAAATTATTTCCATTTTACTCCTTTGATAAGCAACCAGTACAGTTTCCATCGGTCCAATCACAACCTAATGGTAATGATTGCGGGGTTTTTGCAATAGCCTTTGCAGTATCTCTTTTATTTGATCTCCAACCAAATAAAATTATATATGACCATAATTTAATGCGTCAATCAATATTTAGCAGAAATGTTTCAATCAAATAGAATAGAACACTTCCCTCAAGTTATAGGAATAAATTTAGAACAAATTAATCATACATTCAGTGAGAATAGTGTGGATACTAATAATATTGCAATTACTAAAGATTTAACTAGAGATCAACATGGTATAAAAAGAAAAATGAATAGTTATAATGATAGGGATAGAAATAAAAAACAAGCAAGGGAGAACTGTGACATTTATTCAGATAAGAATGATGTTATATACGTAAATAAAAAAAACATTTCTAATAAAAAATATGAATTACATAGAAACAATTTCTTAATTAAAAAAATTTATATAACGAAAAACATAAAAATAATATTAAAAAATTCAATAAGGTATATTATGAAAAATACAAAAATGATATAAAGAAATCAAAGAAAGAATATTATAAAAAATACAAAAATGATATAAAAAAATCGAACAATAAATATTATAAAAAACAGAAAAATGATATTGAGAAATCGAGAAAGGAATATTATGAAAAACATAAAAATGATATAAAGAAATCGAAAAAAGAATATTATAGATTACATAAAAACAATATACTATTATATAAAAATAAGCAGAATATAAAGTATAATAAAGAAGCAGAATATAAAGTATAACAAAGAAAAGTGTATTAGAAACATATCAAAGCTTCTTAGAATGTCGTCATTGTCTGAAAATAGATTGGAGGCTGAACGTATAACAAAATGGTGCTTTTATATAAGAAAAAGTTATATTCTACAAATGAGAAAAAAATTTAATAAATGTAAACAAAAAATTGAAGTTTGTCTGACACATGCAACAAAATGTTCTTCATCAAAATTTAGTAGAGATTACGTAAATATGTTTTGCGGACAAGATAAACATACCGCTTCTTCGGAATTATATTTTGCAGAAACTATCTATCATGTATATAATATTTCTAAACCTATTATAAGATTCTGAAAGTAAAGCAATTAATATTTTACCTTTAATAGAATCAAAACATAAACCCAGAAAAACATGGCGCTGTAGTTCTCTTTGTAAAATGGAAGAGATCATTATTAACGATATAAAGTGTTGCTTTGAAAAATTTTTAAATTATACATTACAGACTCTTCGTAAAAAAATTTTATGTTATAATTGTTCCTATCAAATACGTCAAGACAACAAAGTAAGTTGTAATGATGCACCCCGTGCACCCCCTTAGATGCATCGTATCTACCCGGCATGCGATCCGCCGGAAGCTGCTGCCCGGTAGAACACCCGCCGGGCATAGGCAGGGACGCGGTGCGCCCACATTTTTTTAAACTTCTTTAACGCTTTCAAAAAGGGAGCCGAATACCGCCGAGTGTTGCCGACATGTCCCGATACGGCGACCGGTGAAAACCCGCGCTCGGCGCACACCCTGAACCCCTCCGAGCGGGCCCCCGACCGTACCGCTTTCCATAACCCGTTCGGAAAAGGTAATACCGCCGCGCGCCGACGCGGGTAATTAAGCCGATATAAAACGGGCACGTTCGGCACACTAATTACCTTTCTCCGATCTGCTCACGACAGTGAAGCAGCTCTGAAACCTAGGCCGCTCCTACACAAAGAAATCTAGCTTCGAGGAAAGGAGGTAGAGCGAACTCTTCCTCCATTGAGCACTCTCGATCTTCGATCAAGATCTATCCATCCGATCAATAATCCGACCAGGAAAAGGAATCAGAGTGCACTCCGATTCCGTCGAGAGTTCTCGACCACCGGTCTATAATCCGACCGCCAGACGCTAGTGCATCTATTCACGAGGCAGAGAGGAGAGCTACCTCGGACGAGTTATTCTCGTCAGCACTGCGTTCCCGGAAAACTCTCCTTAGCTTACCGAGAATTACAATTCTTCACAAACGCATACGAATAATTTCGCGGGAATACAGCGCGCATTTTTCGTAAACACATACGAACCATTTTGCGGAAATATAGCGTGCGTTCCCGTAAACCAGCACAAAAAGCCGACTAGACCGATCCTTCAGACACGCATATATAAAAACCATACGCGCGACGTCAAACGGTCATTGACCGCGCCGTAATCAAAACACGCGCTGTAAATAGCATTTAAAGATATCAATACGATCCAAAAGCGCATTATATTCAAAATACACACGACTAAAAACTATTGTACGATCCTTAGTGCAATCCAATATCGTTATATCACGCGTGCACGAAGTGCATTAATCTGCATATTGCGTTGGACATCTAACTTGCGTTTCGCGCTGAATATCGCGATCGAACACGTTCACAACACGCGTTCACGATCCTACACGCGTACACACGTACACTGTATTACATACAACCAATAAACACATCTCTTTTAGTAGCCTACACACGCTCTCGCTCTTTTGAAAAACCTACCGAACCCGGATTTCCGATTCCCGCTATCCGACGACAAATCACGCGAAAATCACACGTGACAAGGTCATTCTCACTGCTGTTATATTGACTATAAATATGTAAATCATGGTTTTTACCTATTGAAATAATATTCCCCCATTATCCAATGATACAATATATTAAAAGATTAATACATAATTTAATCAATTTTAATAAAAAACTAAATTACA